CCCCTCGCCCCTATTTACAATTGCCCATATTTGGTTTCCCCTCCTCCCTTCTTACGTGCCATCCCAAAAGTTGCTGTCCTGGTAGTTCCCCAGATAGCCATAGTCTTGTGGTTAGACTGTCTATCTTTTCCCCCTTTCCTATGGGTGTAAACTGCTTCAAGCCTATCGCTGAATTTCACACACCCTGTTTTTCCCAGGTTGTGGGCCTTCTTGGAAGTGTTTCAGCATGTCGCCCCCCCCCCTTTTCTTACCAGCTGTCTCAGCGACTTAGGTCTCCCCTCGGTATGGTCTCATATCCACATATGAGCCTGTATTGGGGTTACCCCCCCTTTGCTGACCCTTCAACGTGGCCAAAGAAAGCAGTAAATTTGTCTGGCACGGCCTGTTTCTAACAAATCCATGCTAGCTTCTGGTGACCACCCTGTTAGTTTCTAGGGGTTTGTAACCCCCCTCCCCGCTTGATTATCTTTTCTAGGGTATTCCCAGGTATTGAGGTCATGCTAGTTGGGCTGTAGTTTCCTGGGTTTTCTCCCTTTTGAAAATATTGGAAGAACTTTGGCTCTTCTCCGATCTTCTGGTGCTTCTCTGTGCCCCAAGATTTCTCAAGGGTTTCACTCGACGGCTCTGAGATGGCGTCTGCCTGTTCCTTTAATGTTCTAGGACGTAATCCGTCCACTCCAGGGAACTTGGATTCATTCAAAGCCCCATCTTGCCATCTTGACTTTCCTCATGTTCCAAACATGTGCAAGAACCCCTTTTGTGTTTCTTGCAATTCATTGCAAGCCTTAGCTCATGGTGAGCCTTCTTGACCCTTGTAGGCTCCAGTTAATTTCTGATATTCTGTCTTTGCTATAGGCCCCTCTTTCCGTTTTTTAAACTTGTCTTTTTTGTTTATCAGTTCATCAGAGAGATCTTGGTGCAACCAGGCCGTTCTCATCAGATGTCTCCCCCCCCACCCCCCCACTTTGGTATTGATTGTGTTTGGGCCTTAGTTATCTCATTTTCAGAATTTCCCAACTCTCCTGACCTGTTTTTCACTTCAGGATTTCTGTCCATGGAACCCTTCCTATCTTTTCCCTTACTTTGTTGAAGTCAACTCTCTTGAAATCTAGGACACTAATCCATCTACCTTCAGTTCTCCTTGCCTGCAGTATGGTGAATTCTAGATTCACATGGTCACTCTCTCTCACAGCTCCTACAACTTCTTCAACCATGTCTTCCCTAGTAGTAACCATTAAGTCCAATAGCACTGATCCCCTGTTTTCCTCCTCCACATTTTGGACAATGAAATTGTTTGCTTGGCACATCAAGAGCCTGTCGGATCTCCCACTCACTGCAGAGTTTGATTCCCAGTTGATGCTGGGTAGTTGAAATCCCCCATTATCTCGGTGGTATGTTTCCTGGACGTGTTGGCCAACTGCACAAGACTTCACCTGTATCTTCTGCTTGGTTGGATCACCCAGTTCTTAAGCCATGAAGGTCTTTAAAAGTGGCAACCACCACCTTGAATTGCACCCATCCACTGCATTCTGGACCCCTGAAATTTTCAGGGGGTCTTCAAGGGCAACTCTGTAGAGACAGATGATGGTACTCCATGCAAGAGATGGCAGGATGTGAATGATGATGAGCAGGGACTCATGACCTATCTAAAGATGAAATTGTTTAGACACTTTTGTTGCCAGGAAAGCCCAGAGTGTTGTGGGCAGAGGTTTGTTCCATCACAATAGGATAGATTTTAGATACTAAAAGTACAATATTTAGATATTGTATATACTGGAAGTGGACTTTGGATGGGAGGGGGAAAACAGGGAGACATTTCCTCCCCTCTCAAGATCTTTGTGGACACAATCACATAGAACCCACAATATACAGTATAATGGTTCCTCACAATTATTGAATCAAAGTTCAAATATAGTTCTCCCTTGAATACATTTCAAGAGTATAAAATTAGTATACATTGAATACTAATTAGTGCTACACACTGCTGATCAAGATGATTTTCCCACGTAGTGTAGACAGAGCGGTTATCTAAACTAGTAATCAGAATTATCAAAAGTTGCTTTGTATTGTGGTTCCTCGATTCCAGCAAGTTTTCCCAGTGAGGAAAAGGCAGCGAGAGAAACAGCAGGTGAAAAACAGCAAATAAAAGAGCAAGTTACAGAACAGAGAAGCTCTTGCACTCTGCACACACAATCCTTACACGCTTCACACACTCCTCCCAGCTTACACACAAAGCTCCTCTTGGTCTCCTAGTTTATAACCTAAACGTGTTGGCCTCTGAAAAGCTGGTTTTCATCTATCTTGTCATGGAATACGGTTACCATTTTAGGAGACAATTTGGAGAGAGGTCTAGCTATTCTTGGGCAGTTCTTGATCATGGAAGAACATCTCCTGATTCTTGGTCCTTTTATCCATCAGTCATCCTTTGATCTTCTCTCGGTCTTTGGGGCATCACTGTGTTCGTCCACCCTGGGACACTGCTGTATTTCCACGCAGCTGGGCATTCAGAGGGACTGCATGGACTTCACTAGACCGAGGATTCATCAAACAGTTTGTTAAACTTATTATCCATCCTGATCTCTAGAAAAGGTCATTTTCTGGGAGGTCTGAAGGAGGTGATGTTCAGTTCAAAGGTGGATTCACTCTGGTTCAGCTAACCCTGGGTTCCTGAATGTCTGTGGTGGCACGTAAACATGACCCTGGAAACAGAGAATGGATGAACAAATCATTGAGGGAGAAGAAAATATTACTCAATCCTGGAAATGAGAAAACATGAGAAAGAAATCCAAAATAACCCCAGCTTGATTTTGTCAAGATAAGATATAGTAGAGAAAAACTCTGATGGGCTTTCAAATTTGGTTACTATGGCCTACAACAAGGAAGGGCATTGCTGAACCCTCCACTGCTCCTGTTTCCAGACCTTGCTTATCTTGAAGGGTTGACAATGTCCAGAGTACGCAGGGTTGTCCGCAGAAGAGTACAAAAAGTCAAGATCGCAGTCACAACCATGCTGTTGAAGCCTTGCCCTCTTTTTACATGTGTTAATAGTTAAAGGCTTAGGAAAAAAGGAGAAGGAGAAGGAGAAGGAGAAGGAGAAGGAGAAGGAGAAGGAGAAGGAGAAGGAATATTTATTGTGGTCAATGACCAGTCCATGAAGCATTAGTGCTCTGTTGGGGTTCTTTGCTGCCTCCCCTCTGTGAGAGGAAAATTTTAGTAGCCTTCTATGTGCTTTAATGTTAGTTTTGATTGCATTTAATAAAGCCAAGTTAGCTTCTTGTGACCTGTAGGGCAATGACATAATGTTAGTTTTGATTGCATTTAATAAAGCCAAGTTAGCTTCTTGTGACCTGTAGGGCAATGACATAATGTTAGTTTTGATTGCATTTAATAAAGCCAAGTTAGCTTCTTGTGACCTGTAGGGCAATGACAGGAAATGTCAAATGCAAGACTAAGCAACTTGCTGATGGGAAAAGAAGTGACAGGGACGAACAGAACAGAAAGGTATGGTAAAATTAGCACCAAGGACGTTACGAATCAGTTGCTAAACCTAGGAGTCATGTCTGTGGTTTGTGGTTTTTGAGGATAAAAGGGATTGCATCTGAGGGGGTCGGGGCCACACGGCTAAGCTGTCTTACCTGACCGCTTGGTCGTGACGGTGGGCGTTGGAATGTGAATCTAAGTGGGCGGTCTGCATTGAGGTGTGGATCTAAGTGAGTACCATGTATGCTGTTGGTTGAACTTTACTTGCTTGTTGAACTAACATTTAATAAAGCTTTTAGAACTTGGAAGTGACTTGTTTTATGGTGTGTCTGCCTCCCGTGTTTAATGTGGTTTTTCCCCTGACACCACCTTGCAGGGGGGAAAGAACTAAATGCATTTGCAACTCCTTCAGTGTCTTGTTTCCACTGTGAACCAACTCTTCCTTCATTGTTTGAGGACCAGCTGTGCTTTTGGAGATGCTTATCTTTCCAGGTTGGAAGTTGGCTGAAAACAGACTCTTAAGCAAACAAAACTGCTTGACGTGGACTTCAGTTACACCCTGAAACACCCTCACTTTGTTACGCTATTTGCATCTGGTTGCTAAATTTGCAAGCTTTTGCCATTTTTAAAAACCACACAATCCTCCTTGGCTGTATCATTCGATGGGTCTTCATTCAAAGGGAGTGAATGGGAAGGCTCTCTTTCATGCCCCCATAAGCCTGGCCCTACTGCGGCTTACATCCTCCTTTCGTGCTCCTCTCAAGAGCGCCTCTCAAACCAGCATTGGTGGATCTTGTGGTTAAAGGATTGTTGGCGAGCAGCAGAAAGGGTTTCAGAGAACCTGCAGAGATGATTTGGGAGCTGAAGGAAAGCTTTGGATTGCCTCATTCTAGATGTCCTTCTAAATCAGTGTTTCTCAAACTTGGCGACTTTAAGATATGTGGACTTTAATTCCTGGAATTCCCCAACTTTACAAAGTTTGAGAAACACTGTTCTAAATCATCATCATCATCATCATTGGTGGCGGCGGTGGTCGCACAGTCAGCCAGATGTTCAGTCAGCCATTTTATGTTATGCTATCTCTATGTTACCTCTATATTATGTTATCTCTAGAGATAAACCACATTTATACACCATTCAGAAGAAACAATAAAAAGCTAAGAAGGCAACAAAGAGACCAGAACACCTCCTCGCCAGCAATCACCACCCAGATAAGCAGGAATTAACACCAGGATTAACACCTGACAAACAAGCAGTAAACAACAGCCTGATCAAGGCACTACCAAGGAGAAAACCACACCCCCACCAAGAAGACGGGGAAGGTCAGGTGGGGCAGCAGAGCACAGGGCGGCAGGGGCCTTGGGGTGAGGGGGCCAAGGTGGCTGCTGCTGGGACCAGGTGGGGCGGCTGCGGCTTCCCGGGCCGTGGCAAGGGGCCCTAGAGCCGCACAGTTCTGGGGCTACTTGCTGCCCCATGTTACCAATAAAACCCAACTCAGGTCTTCAGAAGCAGCAAAGTATTTATTAACGTTTTTGCAAAATTGGGCGCACACACATCAGCAGTGAGGTGGACCCAGATCCTAGCAATTGGTCCTCCTTATATTCCCTATCACAGACACGAAAGCCCTCCGCCGGTTCCCCATTGGTCAGGTACTAGGGAGTTTACATCCTATCCGATACGCCTAATACAATTTCCAGAAGTCCTGCCTTAGTTTACATCTCCCATTACTCTACTCCAAAGCCCCCTCACCCCTGTTTACAATTGTCCATATTTGGTACTTCTACTTACGTGTCATCTTAAAGGCTACCGTGTTCCTGTAAATAGCTGCAGTTTGTGGTTAAGCTAGCGGCATCCTGTTGCAGCCGTTTGCCTTCTTCCCTTTTTCTGTTTTTCCCAATTTTTCTTGACTGTAAGATCAGGTTTCTTTGTTTCTGCTTGGCCAAAGCTGTAACTATTACGCCATAAACAATTCTCCATATTCATTTATCTCTGAAGTTTCTGTAAAAACAACAAACCCACTTATATCCTGTTTCATACACCCACAAGGCAGGATGCAGGGCGGCCAGAAGGGCAGAGGTGGGGGAAATAGGTGGGTGGGGGGAGTTGGAGGCAGTCCCTTACCTTACTGAGGCTCAGGGCTGGAAGGGGCCAAGCCGGGAATGGCCTGGATTGGGGTGGGTCTTCACTTAGTGACCTATGATTCTCGGTTAACAGCAGCAACCAGGACTGCCAGGATTGCAGTTCCTAAGTGATGCGGTCACATGATGTCTCACTTTACAACCACATTTCTTAGCAACGGAAATTCCAGTCCCCACTGTGGTCATATGTTGAGGATTACCTGTATTCCCTTTTTCTTCTATAGAAAACAATCTTTCTCTGTAATCCATTCAGAGGGTTGTTGATCCTTGTTACAAATTTCTTCAGTACTTTAAACAGCCTCTTCTGTGAATCCAACAAAAAAATTATTCCAGTTGCTCTCTGGGATTGTCATTTTTATCTCCTTCGTGTTTAATCTTCATGTTTAATCATCCAGTCTTCTCTTTATATCTTGTAAGGTTTTCTAGCCCAGAATCTATACATTCAAATGAGACTCTAGACCGAGGTTTTTCCAAAGAAGTTCAGCTTTTATTGTTGGCCAAGAGAAAAGTAGGGTGGACCGCTCTCTGTCCGGCTGGCAGAAAGGAGACAGAGAACAGCCACACCTCAAAACAGTTTACAACAGCTTTTATAGTATTTTAAAATTGCAGAACTTAGTACCATTGTAATTACGATGAGTTTTTACAGCCAATCAAAGAAACTTAAACAGAATACATTATTCTCCGCCCTTGTTTGTTTATATTAATTCCAGAATATATTATTCCCCTCCCATTTGCTTATACTAA